GAGGAGTTGTGGGTATCTGGCTCTTGGCTGGGCTGGGGTCAGTGTTCACTGTAAAGCTGTTCACTTGTGCAGTTGCTCAGGAGACATTCAAATGCCTCCTAGCTGATTAGCAATGCACCCACAGGTAGGAGAGTACCATGAAGGTAATGAAACCTTTCCTTTGAGGGTGGAAAGGGAGTGAGCCTGGCAGGGCGAGAGGCACCTGTAACCAAGAAGAACTATTTCTTCCCTTCCTCTCCCACTGCCCAAGGGCAGGAGGCAAAATGTTATCAGAAGGCAGGAGATGGGGAGAGAGATTAGAATTTTTCCATTCAATTTAAGGTATTTTAAAACCATTTCAAGAATGTTTTTAGCTCTTAGAATATACCCCTGCTCATCCAGTCTACCTCTGTGAACAGAGACATGCTCTCCTACCACGCTCGAGGATCAGAATAGTGCAACAAGAATGTATTTAGACTGTGCCATAACATTTGACTTGGTAATACTACCACAAATGATGCTATGGTTTGGGAATCGTGTCAAGACTCCTTTTGGCATACGCAGGTATCATGGAGGCAACGTGTTTGGATCAACACCAATGTCCCCCCTAATGTTTAGATTTTTTTACTATCTGTGTGCATAACAATTGGTATGTGCACCCAGGCATGTGTGATAGTGCATCCTCAGTAGAAACAGAACTCAGAACAGAACAGAACCAGAAACAGAACAGAAACAGTAGAATGAAGCTCTGGCCACTTTGCGAATGGTGCCCTTTGAATCTCTCCTGAACAGCTGCACAAGAGCCCGGCTTACAGAGAACACTGGCCAGCATGCTTGCGGCTTGGAAAAAGAATATACATTTGCCAGACTTAAATCAAGAAAACCATCAAGCAAATAAATTATTTTCAAGTTTCTAACATACACCTAAGTATATCAGGCAGCCCGCTTTGAATAGCCACAAGGTAGAATAAAAGTCACTACACATAAAGTACTGTAGCTTCCCCTAATTAAAGCCTCTCCCAGTTCAGTAGCCTATCGATATCAACAAATCATTCCTTCAGTCAGACTCCTGCCATGTTGTACTCACATGAATCAGAATTAGAGATGATCTATTTCCAAGCAGGACCCTGAGACTAACTCATATCATGACAGCATGATCATTACCACACCACATCACAATGTTGTTCTTCTGGTTAGAAAAAAAAAGGCAACCATGCTATGCTGGAGCATTGCAAAGTCTGGTACTTTGGGACCTACTGCATATGTCAGGCTTACCAACAAAATGGCAGGTGACTCTGGAAATCTTGTGATGCATAGCAACAGTACAAAAACCATATACAATTACAAACTATTGGGGGGATTGTTAAACCTGAATGTATACTTAACAGGATTCTCATTTCCAACTCTCCAGATACTTCTGCATTTGGATTTGTGTACTGGGACAAGATGGAAGTGTGTCAGGAATCAAGTGGGAAATACAGAACTCTGAATGTCAGATGCCCATGCTGGCAGTGATGCAGCTGTAAATGACCCAGCACTGTATATAAATCTTTCTAGATGTCTGGAGAGGTCTGCAATTTTCACATCTGTAGTTCTCACAGATAACTCAAATGTATATACAGTAAAACTCCATTAGTCCGGCATCCAATGCTCTGGGACTCCTGATGGTCCGGCACCATCAGGAACCCGGAAGTGCTGGGGCAGCCGGACAGGCTTCCCCCATTCAGCAGCTGCTGAAACTGACCAGCAGCTGAATCGGGGAAGCCGGGAGCAGAGCACCTGGGGTACTGCCCGGTTGGTCCCGTAGCACTGCCCCTCGGGGCTGTGGGACCAAACCTGGCAGCACCCCAGCTGTCCCTGATTCAGCCACTGCTGAAACTGACCAGCAGCTGACTCTTGGAAGCCCGAGGCAGAGCTGCTCTGCCCCGGGCTTCCTGGAATCAGCCCCTGATCAGTTTCAACAGCGGCTGGCTTGGGGGGACCTGGGGTTCTTAAGTTGAATCTGTATGTAAGTCAGAAC